GACTTTGCCGGTAACTCCCCAAGAATTGCGTGAAGAAGTGAACCCTAAATGGAAAAAGGAAACTCACATAAAAAGGAAAATGGTGACAGTGATGATAGTAATAGTAATGAAACTAATACATCATCCCAAGATACAAAGAAAATCAACTAAGATACTCAATATCATACCTTTCCTGAGCCAACAGGACCTATGACAGCCAGTAGTTCTCCAGCTTTGACAGAACATGAGATGTTGTTCAGCGTGTTCTCTTCTGTTGCATCACTCCATTTGGCTGTCACTCCATTTATTGTTATTCCACAGTCCTGTGTATACATATAATAAAAAGTAAGCAAATAATACTAAACATTACCAAATGACAAATGTATGAGTGCTACAGTATTTTGACATCACAAATGTAATAACATTAAAGGGGAGGGGTAGGAGAAGGGGAAGAATGAGGAAAAAAAGGAAGAAGAGGAGGAGGATGAGGAGGTGGAGGAGGAGGAGGAGGATGGAGACGATGGAGAGAAGGAGAAGAAGGAGAAGGAGGAGGAGGAGGAAGAGGAGGAGGATGGAGACAATGGAGAGGAGGGAAATGATGGAGAGGAGGAGGAGGAGGAGGAGGAGGAGGAGGAGGAGGAGGAGGAAAAGGAAGAGGAGGAGGAGGAGGAGGGTGAAGAGGCAGAAAAAATCTGTCCTCTTACCTTCAGTTTTGGCCTTAGATTGGATTTCTGGACACTGCTGGTATCTTCCCTCTCTTCCATTTCCAAGAATTCCTAATAAGAAAAAAACATGTATTACCATACAAAAAATTCTTCAGTTCTTCATCAATTCCCCACAGCTGTTTCATACTTCCTATAGCATCAAACAAAGTATATCAAAATATCATGCTTTCTATAGAATAACTTCAGGAAAAGTTTTAAATAGTTCTTTCTTTCTGTGACAAATCCTAAATTCTTTCCATTTTTCAACTACCCTGCTATCAAGTGTTAAAACCATATCATTTCCTTTCCTCCTTTTAAAATGGGTTTTATTTTAGAGAAAGGGAACACTGGTAGTTTTTTTTTTCCCCTTTGTTTCATAAACATGCCATTTCCAATAAAGTCATTTCCAACAACTTACCTGAATTCTTTTGCATGATATTTTGGTCTCTGCTCCCATAGCAATACCAAATGGGAAGAACAAAGTCATTACAAGTCTGACATTGTTGATCAAAGAACTGGTGACAAAGACCTGGAAAAAGAAAGTTTCTTCAATGGATTTATAAAAGGAACAGCCCATCTAAATGTATTTTCATATAGTTTATAGTATGCAGAACATCCTACCTATATAAAAAAAAATATCTATGTGCAAATACCTTATATATCTCATAAATGTAAGTTCTTACAATATGAGCACAATCCATACCTTTTCAGCTGTCAATGCATTGCCTGTCAGAATGTAAGTCAGCAATGCTAAAAATACAATAACTTTTGAAGAAGTGAAAAAGAGAGACATATTGACAGCTCTATAATAATTAGTCCTCATGATCACATCAATCTCAGACCTGAAAAGTAAAAAAAAAATCAGGAAGCTATAAAATATATCTTGCTGATATTTACAATAAAATATCTATTATCACACAATAATATTTTATATGAAATACCAGTCGTCATGTGATCATATCCACCACATTCAGCAAAAGATTTATTATTTATAGCAGTTCCATCTAAACCATAATCAGACCTAGTTTTTGCTTACAGTCTGTTAACACAACAGTTACAATACTTACTTTCTTGCTTGTTCAGCTAGTGCTGTAAAAGGCTTCTCCCAAGTGTACATCTTTATAACTCTCATGGCATTGATGATTTCGTTCATAATCCTTACACGCTCATCTGTGCGATGTGCTGTAGCTAATCTCAGCTTAGAGAAGACTTTACCCATCCAGCCTAAAAAAAAAACATTGGATCACATCAGAGCATCAACCAGGCCTTAATTCTATGTATTTATTAATCCTTTACAGCTTTGAACTCATAAAAAAACTTGAACTATTCCACACAGAACAGATTAGGCATTCACAATGCATTCAAAGCATTCCTTCAAGACAACAATTATTTTGGTGCTGACTAGACACATGTAGATGCAAAACTCTAAAGCATATTCCATGGTATACCTTCAGCCTTGATTTCTGTATTTTAAGTCTTGACAATCAGACCATAAGGAAATATTGGAAAATCAAACATTAAAGCACATCAAAGAGATATACAATATAATTTTACAACAAATTCTTACAACTCACTTTGAAGAGGCACAAAGAGAATCAAGAGCATAATCCCTGCTAAGCAAGAAGGTCCTAACTCTTGCCACAAGATTGCCAATACAATAGCTGTCTGTAATGATAAAGGAGAAAAGAGAAAGACAACGTCAAACACAAACCTTAATTACATAAAACGTTTTCAAATCAGTCACACCATATTTCTATATGCATTTCCCTCACAGAAAAAAGTGAGTACCAATCATTACTTTGAAGTCTTAGTTAACA